TTAATTGTGTTCTTAACGATATAGCAGCATTTACATCTTTTGTCAACCCATTTATATGTTTATCAGACAATTCTAATTGTGAGACAATATTACCCTTTTCCTTAAGATATGTACTTAATCCTCTGTCCTTTGGTGATGCATTACTTGACTTTATATTTAAAGATTTCTGTATATAATGGAGAATAGATTTTATTTACGACTATTGAATAGAAATTATTAAATATTCTGCGTAACTCACTGTATCAAATGGGGTATCCTTGGATATCTGTAGCCGTTTACCACAAACTGCAGGTAATTTCATAAGTATATCAGATAAAAAATGTGTAATTGTAGATTCCTTCTCTGTATTTGGAATAATTTCTAATGGACTACTTTCTACACACATATGAGGATATGTAAAAACCTTGGATTTGGAAATCAAAAATTTAATTTCATAAAATAAAATTCCACCTTTATTTTTTGGTAAATAATATCCATACTAAAACGTTATACATACATATATATACAAAGATATATTTGAAAGTAAATTGCAAGATGAATAAACATAGGTATTGTCATTTATACCATATTTTTCCAGTGTCTACGTAATTGGTCATAATCTTTAAAAGCACATTTTGCTGGAAGTTCTTTAGACACAGATAATAGTTTGCCTTTTTTTGTACTACGAAAATTAAAAAATTTTATTTTAAACCAAATATACATGTATATCCCATATATTCCACTAAATGAAATAAATTATTGTTACCTTGGTAATACATATACAAATGGAAGATTATAACGAGATAAATCGACGTATCCTTTAGGGTCTGCTAAAAAATGTGATATAATAGATGGTGAAAGATAGTCTTCAAGTTTTATATATGGAATTTTAAGTATTTCTGCATGAAGTTGCAAACACATTTTTCTATCTAAAAACTTTTTAATGTTAATATATTTCACACTTTTTAATATTAGTTATACGAAGAACAAAATTAGATTTTTTATTACCCTCTATAAGTATATCTAATTTTAATGCTCTAGTTCCTTCTATAAAGTTATAAAAATTTTTTCCTTGAACAAAATAATCATCAACTTTATTCCACAAAGGAGCTATCTTAGTTTGCATCGTATACCTAAGACAACTTTTATAAACTTCTGTAGTAACTGGTCTTGATCCTTGATACTGACAGGAACAAAAATCAGTTTATTATTGAAATAATATATTTAGAGTCAATAAAGATTTGTGTCTTGAACATACCACTAGTTTAAAATTTCTTAAAATTTGTTCCAATCTACCATTTTGGGAAAATTGTTTATGCGTTATAACAAATATATATCTTTCTGTACCCATTACTGGTGAAGCAATAACGTCAGATATTAAATGAATAAGTAATCTAAAATTTTATTGTTAGTAAAATATAAAGATCGTTATTAAGATAATATTATATAATACAAAATTTTTGATTCGCAGAATTTGCCCTTGACTTACCGGCACTTAATTGTTTGCCAATGAAAATTTGATTTCGCCGATGCATCATGAACTTCAACAAAATCAATTTCGCAAATTGCACAACATAGGTTACTCATTTCCGGAAATGAAGCGTACAGAACCGATTGTTCTTTTTTCTTATTCACAAGATTACAAGCATCCATTACATATAATTGCTTGCTATTCTTAATTATTTTATGTTCTTGTAGATCCAATTTATACTAACAATTTTTCGAAAACGTATTTTCGAATGAATAGCCAACATTTAAAATCTCAAAAGTTGTACTAATACTTTAAATATGATTTTTGTGAAGAAGCTTTATTCCCAATTATCTCAAAATTAAACTTTTATGTGAGATATCTAAACTTTTTATATTTAAAACAAATTTAAAATCTTCTTAAGTAAAAAGACGACTCTTTTTCTATTATCAATATATTATTTTATTTAGCGGTTACTGAGGAGTTTATATTATATATATTGGTACGGATCGCTGAACCGCTTTGTTCAATAAAGTGCGCGAAAAAATCAAGATAACTACATATTAAGATGTAAGCATAGCTTCTTTTATAGAGATCTGCTTGAAATTTTTCCTTAGAAAACAAAACATTTTTTAATAACCTCGCATGGCTGAATGAAAACCTTTTAATTTATTGTGATTTTTAACGACTAAACTTAAAGTTTTTCAATAGCGTATTTCCTGTATTTTGAATTCTTATTCACTCCTTGCTATAGTACTCGCATCGAATTTTTGACCAATATATAGATGTATTTAACATTTCAGGTATGTGAACGTAATTTCAAACTTCGCTTCTAAATTGCATATTGATATCGCTAAATATTAGGCCAGATTCATATGTAACACAACGGTTCAGTAATGTTCAATTATATTGTATATTCATAACTTCAAGCCATTTGAAATAAACGCCGCGTAATTCAAATTTCAACACTATGCATAGCGTAGTATTTGAATAGGTAACTGGTAATATATATATGTGTATATATATATATATATATATATATATATATATATATAACAATTTCATTTTACTAACAATAAGGGAAATAAATCAAAGAACAATTACTTATATGCGGAAAGAGTTAACTTTATTCATATAAAATAATATATATAATACAAATTAATGTTTACCTAAGTAACACTTAAAATACAAAAAAAACCAAAAATATACAGAAAAAATGTATTTGATTAGTTTAATATTATGTTTCTGTTTAGTAATTACTGTAGAAATAGTACTAAAATTAAAATATTTTATCATTTCCTAACATATACACTTAGTTTAACGATACATTATACCAAACATATTAATGTGTGTATGTCA